CTGCTATGAACATAGGGGTGCATAAGTTCTTTCTAATTGGTGTTTTGTGTTTCTTAGGATATATTCCTAGAAGTGGGATCACTGGGTCAAATGCCAGTTCCATTTTTAATTTTGTAAGGAACCTCCATACTGTTTTCCATAGTGGCTGCACCAGTCTGCATTCCCTCCAGTAGTGTACTAGGGTTCCCTTTTCTCCACATCCTCACCAGCACCAGTCATTTGATGATTTGTTGATGGTAGCCATTCTGACAGGTGTGAGGTGATACCTCATTGTGGTTTTAATTTGCATCTCTCTGATGCTTAGTGGCTTTGAGCATTTTTCATCTGTCTCTTGGCCACCTGGATTTCCATTTGGGAGAAGTGTCTATTTAGGTCCTTTGCCCATTTTTTGATTGGATTGTTTGTCCTCATTTGTTAAGTAGTATGAGTTCCTTATATATTTTGGAAATTAACCCTTTATCAGATGTATCATTGGCAAATATGTTCTCCCATACAGTGGGCTCCCTTTTTGTTTTGCTGATGGTTTCTTTCGCTGTGCAGAAGCTTTTTATTTTGATGTTGTCCCACTTGTTTATCTTCTGCTTTGTTTCCCTTTCCCTAGGAGATGTATTGGCAAACATTGGTATGAGAGATGTCTGAGATTTTGCTACCTACGTTTTCTTCTAGGATCTTTATGGTTTCACAACTTACATTTAAATCTTCTATCCATTTTCAGTTTATTATTGTGTATGGTGTGAGTTGGTAGTCTAGCTTCATTTTTTTGCATGTACCTATCCAATTTTCCCAGCACCGTTTGTTGAAGAGCCTGTCTCTACTCCATTGTAAGCTCTTGCCTCCTTTGTCGAATATTAATTGAGCATAAAGATTTGGTTCAGTTTCTGGGTTCTCTGTTTCTGTTCCACTGATCTATATGTCTGTTCTTGTGCCACTTGTTTTGTCTGTTTTGGATACAGTGGCTTTGTAGTATAACTTGATATCTGATATTGTGATCCATCTAAATTTGTTCTTCTTTCTTAAGATTGCTGTGGCTATTCGGGGTCTTTTTTTGTTCCTTTTAACTTTTGGAGTGTTTGTTCTAGATCTGTGAAGTATGCCATTGGTATTTTAATAGGAATTGCACTGAATTTATAGATTGTTTTGGGTAGTATGGACATTTTTATGATGTTAATTCTACCAATCCATGAACACAGTATATTCTTCCAATTGTTTATATCTTCCGCTATCTCTTCTTTCAACGTCCTATACTTTTCCATGGACAGGTCTTTTATCTCCATGGTTATGTTTATTCCTAAGTATCTTAATTTTTTTTTTTTTTTTCAGTGGTAAATGGGATNCTTTACCTCCTTGGTTAAGTTTATTCCTAAATATCTTAATTTTTTTTTTTTTTTTGCAATGGTAAACGGGATTGCTTTTTTAGTTTTCCTTTCTGTGAGCTCACTGTTGGTGTATTAAAATGCTAGAGATTTCTGGGTGTTAATTTTGTATCATGCTACATTGCTGAAATCATTTATTAAATCTAGTAGTTTTCTCATGGAGTCTTTGGGGTTTTCTGTGTACAATATGTAATCTGTGAATAATGATAGTTTTACTTCCTCTTTTCCAATTTGAATTCCTTTTATTATTTCTTCTTTCTTATCGCTGTGACAAGGACTTCCAGCACTATGTTGAATAAGAGTGGTGAAAGTGGACATTCCTGACTTGTTCTGATTCTTAGGGGAAATGGTTTTAGTTTTTGCCCATAGAATATGATGCTGGCTGTAGACTTGTCATATGTGGCCTCTGTTATGAAGAGGCATAGTCCCTTTATTCCCACTTTGCTGAGAGTTTTTATCAAAAATGGGTGTTGGATTTTGATGAATGCTTTTTTTGCATCTATTGATATGATCATGTGATTTTTGTCTTTCAATTTGTTTATGTGATGTATCATATTTATTGATGTGCAAATATTGTACCAGCCTTGCACCCCTGGAATAAATCCTACTTTGTCATCACGTATGATATTTTTAATGTATTGCTGGATCCGATATGCTAATATTTTGTTGAGGATTTTAGCATCAATGTTCATCAGGGATATTGGCCTGTAATTCTTTCTTTGTAGTGTCTTTATCTGGTTTTGGAATTAGGCTAATGCTGGCCTTGTAAAAAGAGCTTGGAAGTGTTCTTTCCTCTTGGACTTTTTGGAATATCTGGAGGATAGTTGTTATTTCTTCTTTGAAAGTTTGATAAAACTCCCCTGTGAAGTTGTCCGGACCAGGGCTTTTGTGTGCTGGGAGTTTACTGATTACTGCTTCAACTTTATCAGTAGTTATTGGCCTATTCAGGTTTTCTGACTCTTCCTGATTGAGTTTTGGAAGGTTGTATTTTTTTAGAAATTTGTCTATTTCATCCAGGTTGTCCAGCTTGGTATAGTTGTTCATAGTATTTTCTTACAGTCCTTTGTATTTCTGTTCGTTCAGTTGTTAGTTCACCTCTTTCATTTCTACTTTGTTTATTTAGGTCCTGTCTCTTCCTTTCTTGATGAGTCTGGCTAAAGGTTCATCAATCTTGTTTATCTTTCCAAAGAACCAGCTCTTAGTTTCATTGATCTTTTGTATTGTTTTTTTAAGACTATGTCATTTATTTCTGCTCTGACCTTTAGTATTTCCTTCCTTCTACTTACTTTGTGCTTTTATTGTTGCTGTCTTTCTAAGTCTTTAAGTTGTAGGGTTAGATAATTTATTTAGAAGTTTTTCTTGTTTTTTGAGGTAGGCCTGTAGTGCTATGAACTTCCCTCTCAGGACTTCTTACATTGTGTCCCATAGATTTTGGGTTGTGTGTTCATTTTCAGTTTTTTTCCAAGAAGTTTTTTATTTCTTCCTTGATCTCTTTGGTAACCCATTCATTGTTTAATAACATGTTACTTAGCTTCCATGTGTTTGAATGTATTTTAGTGTTTATATTGTAGTTGATTTCTAATTTCATAGTATTGTTATCTGAGAAGGTGCTTCTTATGATTTTGATCTTCTTGAAGTTGTAGAGACTTGTTTTGTGTCCTAACATGTGGGCTATCTTTGAGAATGTCCTGTGTGCACTTGAGAAGATTGTATAGTCTGTATCTTTGGTGTGGAATGTTCTGTAAATGGCAATTAATTCCATCTGATCTAGTGTGTCATTTAGGATCACTGTGTTCTTTTTCATTTTTTGTCTAGAAAATCTATCCAGTGATGTCAGTTGGGTGTTAAAATCTCCTACTATGATTGTATTACTGTCAATCTCTCCCTTAAAGTCCTCTAGAAGTTTTTTAATGTATTTCAGTGCTTCTATATTGGTTGCACATATGTTTACCAGGGCTATAGCCTCTTGTTGGATCAATCCCTTTAGTATTATGTAGTGACCTTCATTGTTTCTTGTTATGGCTTTCATTTTGAAGTCTATTTTGTCAGATATGAGTATTGCTAACCCAGTTTTTGTTTTGTTTTTTCATTTCCATTTCATGGAAAGTTTTTTCCCATCCTTTCACTTTCATCCTGTGTGAATCCTTTGTTCTGTGGCGGGCCTCTTGTAGGCAGCATATATATGGGTCATCTTTTCTTATGCATTCAGCTACCATATTTTGATTGAAGCATGGATGCCATTTACTTTTAAAGTATTATTAATAGGTATTTATTTATTGGCATTCTTTCTTTATTTCTGTGTTCCTCTCTTCCTCTTCATTTCTTCTTCTTACACCAGCCCCTTTAGCATTTCTTGAAGTGCTGGTTTGGTTGTAATAAACCCCCTTTAGCCTTTTTTGTCTGTGAAGCTCTTTATTTCACCTTCAATTTTGAATGATAGCCTTGCTGGGTAGAATAGTCTGGAATTCAGTCCCTTATTTTTCATTACTTTGAATACTTCATGCTACTCCCTTCTGGCCTGAAGTGTTTCTGTTGAGAAATCAGCTGTCAGTCTAATGGGTGCTCCCTTGTAGGAAACTTCTGTCTGTCTCTTGCTGCTTTCAGTTCTTTCTTTATCTTTAATGTTTGCCATTTAAATTATGATGTGTATAGATGTGGGTCTTTTTGGGTTCATTTTGATTGGGACTCTCTGTGTTTCCTGAACTTGAGTGACTTTTCATTTCACCACGTTATGAAATTTTTCTGTCCTTATTTCATCAAACACGTTCTCTAATCCTTGCTTGGTTTCTTCTCCTTCTGGCACCCCTATGATGCAGATATTGTTACGTTTTCATGTTGTCCCAAAGCTCCCTTAAACCATTTTCCTGCTTTTTAAATTTTTTTTCTAATTGCTGCACTGATTGGGTGATTTTTTTCTACCCTGTCTTCTAATTCCATGATTCAGTT